TCTGTGCTCTTTCTATTACTAAGTAGATGTAAACATGAGTTACATTTTTGTGTAGCTTACACAGGCATCCTTATTAATTTTCTTTTGGAAAACGTCTTTAAAATAAGTTATCTTAAATAATTTATAACGCGTTTAATTCTTAAAGCTGCATGCCTTCAGATAAGTCATAATATTTCAAGAAAATCAACCTTGAGAAAATTGTACTAAGATTTTAAGACAAGTAAAAATATACACATTTCAAGAAATAATTTACTTGTTGTATGCAATCATTGACTGATTTTGCTGTAGTTATCTTCATATGTCTACTGTGTGACTAACACAGTAAGAGCTATTCTTTTGCATATTCTGACCTGTTTTTGGTAATAATCGTAGATTTTAAATGTCGTTCGTAAAATGTAAATTACTTTCTTTGTCTGCACTTGACAAAAGTAACATTTTAATACATCTTCAAACATTTCATCAAAATCAGCATAAAGGTATGCTGAAGGTATGCTGCTTTACAAAAACTCTTTTCTAATCTATGAATTCGTAAGTTGTTAAGTTGGCTCTATATTCTGTTATATACCGAATATACATGCGATGGTGGAACCTGTCTACTTTCGTAGATTCCAAAATTTAATGGTGCCGTCAACATCAACATATATTAATTTTATCATAGTTTGGAGACCTTTCTGTTGATAATATGTCAGAGTTAAATCGTATACATATCAACATCACGGTGTCAAGGGTTTACGAATCATTTTTCCGTGTACCGTCAATAATTTATAATCTTGCGCGCAGCATCGTATCATTCTTAAGCATTCTTCTGAAAAGTGCAAGTGGTAAGTTCAGAAATGCGAAAATTTCTTACTAAATTTTATTTTATTTAGAGAGTCTGCATACATCACGGAAGATTTGAATGTTTCATCTAGTATGTATGCCAAACCATTAGCAACAATATTTGTGTATTATAACTTGAAACTAATGAAAACACTTTTATACATGTGAAACATTTGTGTTCATGATGCGAACATTTTTCATCCTTTTCCTAAAGTAAAGTTGTCGGAAGATGTATCATATGTCAAATAATCACAAAATGCATTGACACGAGCTGATCACATACCAATTTTATACAAATAATGCAAAATAATGTTGTAAAATCAAGAAAACTTTGATATACATGGTACCGCATCATGCAGAACCATGGTACCGCTTCTTTTTTGGCGGTAATACTGCATATATATACTTTAAAATGTATTTTACCGTTTGCATTTTTTGTTATTTTTTATTTAGGATGGATGTAAACGCCGAACAAGAAAAGGTAAATGTCTGGTTACCGGTTAGGGTAAGCGGGGTAGTGGATGACCTGGGCCTAGAAGCAATCTGCACCTTTATAGCTTTTAAAGATTATTTCCTTTTAAAATTCTTTGATTTCGTAGCAGTTATTATGTCTGTTGTGAAGTTAAACTTTTCTTTGGACTCGGGAATGGCATAGTATTTGCTGATATCAGTAATTGAACTTGTAACTCTCAAATTTGCTAATACAACGCACAAGCATGCCAAACCTCATATTTCTAAAACAGTATTTCTTTCTTACATTTGAATTTTAGTTACTTAACTAATTGACAGGGCACGTATAACTTACACATGTTACTGAATTTAAGAAAGGCGGCAACTATGTGCTTGAGTTATACTCCCTGTATTAATATTTGTGTCGGCATGCTCGTATTTTTTCACACTTTGTTGATACTTGTAGTTCCATTTATTGATAGGCTATTGTAAAACTTATTGATACTTTTAACCACTACAATGTAAGTTTCTTGCTAAAGGAAACATGGGATGGCCGCTGGCGGTGTTCGAGCTAACGCCTTGACAAGCGATGCTAGGATTGCAAGTCCGACGTTTTTCAGTCTAGAAGTCACGGGTTCGATTCCTAACCTAGTCTCTTTTTTCTTGATTGTATTTTCCAATTGCTTCTTTTAAGGCACTGAAAAAAGTTGTATGTAAGGTAGGTTATCAATTAAGTATGTACAATATGATTATCTCTCTTTCACATTATTCGGGGACTTGAACGGACTTTTATAGTTGGATTGGCCATGTTCCTAAGGCTCAGATATTGTGTGGCATCGTATAGTAAAACACTTCTTAGTTTTCTCGGGGTACCTTTTCATAGAATCATTAAAGAAAAAACATAAATAATTTATTCTTCTCTTTTACCTCAAGGAATACTGCTCTCATATTCGATCTGTTACATTGTCCAGTTAAATTCTATTTAGTTTTGTCAAGTGATTTTATTTCAGGTGAACGATCTATGGCCATTGTGACCTTCCTGTACTCTAAAATTGTAACCTGTCATATGAAATTATATTAAAATTCTTGTGAAACTGCATTGTGAACAGCTTTCACATATCTGGCATGTAGCATTCCTTAGTGGAACCTTTTTTACAATAACAACAACAACAACAAGAACAACAACACTTTTATTTGTAAATAAATGCCATAAAAATACAGCAAATTTGACATAATATCACACATTTAAGATTGTGTCATGTTATTCAAAAATTCATTTTTTTCATGTTTCATAATGGCATGTACAAAAAGGCAATCGATTTTACTTTATCATCATTAGAACAATTCATTAAATTACAAAAGTGATCATATTCACATCTACTTTATACCACCTTAGTAAATATTGCTGTAGTTAGTAAATATTGCTGTAGTTCATGTTTATTTTTATTAAATTTATAGAATACGTAAAACTCAACTTCAGTAATTCGTAAATCAAAGTTTACATAGCAATGTCGACAATAAGGTTCTTTCTTTGGAAGACCAGAATGACGACCAGTTTCAATTAAACATTTGTGACGTGAACAACGCAATTAAGCAATGTTTTTCTAATATAAATTTTTTAATTAATAGACAGATCTCAGGATTATTTTGCATAGTTTTGAATTGTTTATATCTTTCACATTGCGTGAAAACGGTAATCTGTTGATACCAGTTTTGTGTTTTACAATCTTCAAATCTTTGTTTAAAGATATACTATGCTCATTCTTGAGTAAAATATTTCAATCACTGAACATTTTTAATCTAAGAAAATCTGACTGAATATGTCTAACTTGAATAAAAGAATAATTAAACTATGTAGTATAATTACACGAATAAACTATGATTGGGAAGTTGCGTTACCTATAACATCTCAAGTAAAAATTTCTTTTCTTGAGAAAAAAAACCTGCAAGTTTTTTTTAATGACACTATATATTCATATTGTGACCAACTACAGTGAGTGGAATTTTTAACATAACATATCTACTTTTTGTGAGATCAAAAATCTCTATTCTATTTTACAAAGAGATTCTGTTGCAATTTGCAATGTTTTCTACAACATTTAGTTTGAGCAAGTATATCTTATATAATAAAAAAATCATTATCACCAATAGTTTGGTTTAACCAAGGAAATCCAAAACCATATCTGTATAACAAATATCTAATGGAAGATGCCCAATTAATCCTACCTAAGCTATCTTGCTGTTGCAACATTTAATATATCTTTTTTCAGACATACAAAAGACATACATAAGAGTTTGCACAAGTACTTTATACATTTAATATGATGAAAATACATAAAAGAAGTCTACCATATTCTCCTTAATCTACACAATCATTTACAGAAGAAATGATGCAATGAAATCTTTAAAATATTGAATATGAACTTGTTCTAAAATATCCGGGTATTTTGTACAATATATTTCAGCCCCATATGTAAGAATAGGTAACAACATAAAACAGAATAAATAAAATATTCGTCATAAAAATAAACAAATGTTCCATGAAAAGATTTTATCACAAAAATATATTTCCTTGCTTGTGCAGCAAGTATTGTTTTCGCTCTAGATCAAGAAAGTTTCGGTGTGAATTAAAGTCCCATGTGTTTGTTTTGCAGGCGAATCATTATATAACGTTCATACGTTCGTAATGGACCGCCGTTTTGAAAAAACGGGACCGGTACCCCAGTTTTAAAAAACGACTATTTCGGTTTTTTATTCATAACAGTCAGGACTGTATCACTGCAAAATTCTGGACAGAAATTAATTGCTTTTGTAACTCATTTTACTGTTTCAGCACAATTTGTAACGTTATCAGTGAAAAGAATACATTTGATATGTCAGAAAGGTGCATCGGTGGTCTTTTGTCGTCTTTTGTTCGTAGAAAGCGAGATAACCCAATATAACATGTATATAGATTAACTATCATTGTACTAGTTACGTCCCCTTGCCTTGTGTGAAACTGCTTAGTTACTTTATCGTTTTCTACCCGAACAAACTGCCTAAATTTGAATACATAAAAGTACACACACGTAATATATTTCTCCTAACGCCATTCTAATTTTAACAAGTGAAAAATTCATCAAAGGCTTTTTGAAAGTCAACATATAAGACATAAAATCTACCACCAGGTTTAGTAAAGTTGTTTAGCGCGGAGGAAGGTAGTCTAGTACTGGTGTAACTCTCCAGGAACATTTGCAGGCGAATCATTATATAACGTTCATACGTTCGTAATGGGCCGCCGTTTTGAAAAACCGGGACCTCCGTTTTGAAAAAAAAAACGACTATTTCGGTTTTTTTACTCATAATAGTCATGACTGTATCACTGCAACACTCTGGGACAGAAATTAATTGCTTTTGTAACTCATTTTACTGTTTCAGTACAATTTGTAACGTTATCAGCGAAAAGAATACATTTGATTTGTCAGGAAGGTGAATCGGTGGTCTTTTGTCGTCTTTTGTTCGTCGAAAGCGAGATAACCCAATATAACATGTATATAGATTAACTATTATTGTACTAGTTACGTCCCCTTGCCTTGTGTGAAACGGCTTAGTCACTTTATCGTTTTCTACCCGAACAAACTGCCTAAATTTGAATACTAGTACATAGAAGTCAACACACGTAATATATTTCCCCTAAAGGCTTTTTGAAAGACAACATATGAGACATAAAATCTACCAGGTTTAGTTAAAGTAGTTTAGCGCGGAGGAAGGTAGTCTAGTACTGGATGTCACTCTCCAGGAACGATGGTTAGGAAACTACCCGCCTATATGACTGAAATAATGTTGGGAAAAGGCGTAACATGAAACAAACAAACAAACAAACAAACAAACTTAACTTTGTAATCAAAAGTGGAATATCCAGTCCTAAATCCTGCATAAAGCTTGTCTATTTGTTAATCATTTCGGCCAATATACATACTGTCGTAAATTATATTTGAGAACAATTTTCACATACATTTATCAAGGTTATACCTCTGTAATTTAACAGGTCTAATTCATTACCGGATTTATGTATAGGCACAATAATACTGTCTCGCAAAGTCGCCAGATTCTTATATCTTATTTAATAATACATGCAAAAGCGGTGATCAGGGAAATAATTTATAAAATTCTGCCCTTAAACAATCTTTTTCTTGAGATTTCTCGTGTTTTACTTGATTAATGATTTTAATATTTCATATGTGTTATTTCAAAATTTAGAATAGACTCCTGTTCTTCGGATAACTCGGCATCAATAAAGTTTGTGTCATTTAATTATGGAAGATTATCCCTCCTTAATAAATCCTGAAAGTAGTTTCTCCATGTATCGGGCTCTATGTTTCAAGTCTTTATCTTATCTTTCTTTCGTCTAGATTTCACCATTTGCCAACATGTTTTAGGACATATACTACATTTGATTAATTCTTTTCGTTTGTGATGCTGGTAAAGGAGTTTTTGATATAAGAAGTCTTTCAAAATTCTTGCGCATATTTATACATTTTTGAAAATCTTGCTAATCATTAGTCGACCGAAATTTCCTTAATGCAGCGTACACAATCTGTTTCAAGTCATTTCATTTTGGTAGTTCTAATACATTACGTAATCATTGTTTGTTGTAAAATAGCAATTATTGTTTGTTGTAAAATAGCAAATATTGTTTGTTACAAAGAATTTACACTAAGAGTCTTTTGACAAGTCTTTCAGCCAATCATCAACAAGAAGACATACACATTTTGCACCATTATTCATGTTATGCCTGCTGCCCCTCGAACTTATGTCCATTAGTTGACGGCAACTGCTTGCCAAGAATGAATCAAACATCCGTAATGTATATTCCTGCGAGGTATAATAGTCAAATCAAAACACAAATTAATACTTTGCATTAGTTACACACACGCATACACATGCGCATACACACGCACACCTGAACCCTGTTCTGGTTGTTTCATATTTGTTTTTATTCAAAATTAACAGGTAAAGCTGTATTATATTAAATGATATGAACATATCGTTTGTTAGAAATATTCCTGATATTTGTACATGTCAGATGGTTGTTACATTTAATAGAGACTAATATTGAGACCGATATGAGCAATCAGGCTGTATTTGTCATAAAATTATCACTATCGCATTAATGTTTTAAACATTCTATGAAATAAACGCAACTAAACGTGATATTCTTACACAGTAAAAAATATTTTACCTCAGGACTTTCATTTTCTTCAGGTGTTTCCTTCAGATATTTCTTCAGATATGCCTTATTTTCTTTTGCAAGTTGTCGTTCAAAGTAAAGCTGTAAAGGGGACAAAAGAAGATAATTCAAGCAGCTTGACAACTTTTTCATGACATATTAAACAAGTAATCAAGAAATTCTTAATATAAAGTAAAATATATCATGTGTATATAAATTTTCTCAAAAAATGGAGGAAAAAATACCATTGCTTACAACTTACTAATTATGAAGAAGTTACTATTTTAAATTAACACAATATTTTAATGTAATGTAGAAGAAAATCATTATACGCCCTTAATTTCTTATTATGTTTCTCATGAAAGAATTACCTGGCATGGCTTGAAGTTGATGCGCATAACGTAAAACTGAATGTTCTTCTGACAAACATGTTAAGGATAGTGCTTCAAGATATAACATTAGAAAACTTTTTATAATCTGCTATTATTTATAGTAAGCGAAATATATTCAATTTGGTAGCCGAATATTTAAATCTGGAACATATTTGAAGGAAATTTCAATTTAGTGGTTTAAATGTCCTTGTTTTAGGTTGTACTGCTGATATGAAATTTATGTATTTTTTTCTATTCTTTTTTTTTAAAGAAATATTCAGAAAAGCACATATGTTGTACCTTAAATTCGGGCAACTAATATCATAACCTTTTCATGATAAAAAAGAATCAATTTTGTATGATTTTCCGAATACTTGTTTGTGAGCAGTAAATAGCATATATCTACTATTTTAAATGTAATACTCGAATACGAGTAAAAATGATAAAAGAAAAACTGGACAACGAGAACCAAATTTTGTAATACTCAGATTTAATTAATTAACGGACCACGAAGGGGAAATACAGGATACTGCTTCATCAAAAAAGTTTCGCCTTGAGAAAAAAATCACTCCTGTCTGCTTATTGTATTGTCGACTTATTTTCCAGAGTGATCCGCGTAATATAGTCCATAACTGCAACAAAAAAAGAAATGTTGTAAGTGTACCAATAGACATTCATACAGTTCAATATTATATAATTGATTTTTACTCTTACAAATGGTTTTTCAAATATTCTATTTGGAAGTACTTAATCACATCTATTAATTACCCGTGAAGTGAAATAGGAAAATACAATAAAATATTCTTGGTTTTGTTTGTAATGGTTAATTTACGGTAAGCTACAATCAATACTTTCATGTCTGCTATATGCATTGCATGCAGCAGATCGCAACTGACGAGTCATTTAAATGTCATTTTGATCTGTCACACGTACGTTGAAAATACGTAAAATATATTTTATTTCATTTATTTAAGAGCTGAGAAATTATCATTATTTTACCTTCAATTTGAGTTTAAACAACATAAGGCTACGGCAATGACAAATACCAAGGACTATCATACTTGCAGTATATGATATAAACCAAGTTGGTAAACCAACCGCAAGACACATTTCTGCCGATGTTAATTTATCTGTTTTTTCCCCTTTCAGCATCAACACCAGTATTGAGAAGATGATCATGATGAGTATCAAGAAAAACAAAAACACGAACGTCATTAGTAGATACTGGTGATCAATAACATGATGGAGTCTTATGTAGTATGATCGATTGAAAGTGTCCTCGACTTCCTGAAGTATTTCTGCTGATACCTGAAGAGACAAATCATTTATCATCACGCAAAATACATGTGTAACTATTTATTTAATCATGATTTCAACAGATTATTAACGTCAATTGTCCGATTATGACTTTGCGGCCCAAAAATTGGATCTTTAGAGCAAATGACTTATTTTTTATTGAAACTTTAGTATAATGAATATAATTTATTAATAAATAAATGAACCGTTTTACTGAAGTGGAAAAATATAAATAAATAAAAGAAAACTGAACAAAACAGTTTCAGTTGGATGCAAGGAAACGGATTTATTCTACAGTAAAGTGATGAACTGTTTAGAAACAAGATAAGAAATTTAATGTCAAAATGTCAAGGTTAAGGAAAAAGCTTCAAAGCGAGCTCTCTGACAGAATTCATATTACAAAACATTATTTCAGAAATAGTACACGGCACTGAGGGTCTCAGCATCATTTGACTGATCTGTCAGCCCGCAAACATTTTGCGGACAGAAGCCAAAAGCTCATACTATCTTTTTTGCTAACTAAGACACTTCTTATTGTAAAACGCCTTTACCTTTTTCAATACTGAATTCGGATAGAACAGTCCATTGAACGACTGCCTCAATTGTATTAAAGAAAATTGCATACAACATTCTATTTGTACTGATGGTCATTTTGGCAATAAAGGGTCACTTTTTGCCTTTTCGCAACCACTATTTGTATCGGCGCTACTTTGAGACTAAAACATATGCAACCAATTTTCACCTGTAAGCAAGTTAGAAATAACCAGACTATCACAGTGTTTGTATGTTTTAATAATGTCTTGGACACTCTCAAAGTGCTGTTGTATTGGCTCCATGGTTAATAGCAAATGGGGTTCCACTAACCGCAAACCGTTCTTGGCATAAACGCTTGGTCATGCTTTCTGATATGTCGGTAAAACTAGCTTTCTTTTACTGACAATCTTGAATCAAACTCTATTTAATCTTTACATAAGCATTCTTTTCCTTAGTAACAATGCTTGTTGTAGTACCTAAACGGTAGTCATCTTTGACAGACAATTTCCCAATTTTAAAAGCATTGACCCGTCTAAAGATTATGCACTTTTAAATGACGCGAGGTCGATTTATGTCACGCAATTGATTAAAAATCTGCTGGAAGCTAGATCAAGCCTAATGCGACATTTAATGTAGCTCCGAACTTTAGTCTTGTTGTCAATTATACAATGTGGTCAGTAAATTGGTCAGTGTATATGATTGCATGTATTTAAAATTGAAATATCTCGGCCTTTAAAAGAAACTTTATAGTAAACTAAGATCTTCAAGTTCCAGAAAACGTCGGTGGTTCTACTCAGGCGCCCGTATGTGCCTGAAACTATATACAGAGGGGCCTTTGAGGTTTTCGTCCACAATAAAGAAAGCTAGAAAGTTGCCATATGACCTATACTTTAACTATGAAGCGTTTAAAAAATATGAGGATAAAACTTCGGAAACTTATCAGTGAAACAACTTCTTAAATGATCCTAGTACGGAGATAGATTGGATTCAGTCACCTGTCATCATAGGAGGTCTATACAACAAGAATTACAAAATAGAACTCTCCTATCCTGTAAATCTAGTATTAGGGATTAAGAATGCATGGAATAGTAGCCTTAACATAACAAGATTTGCTTGTACATCTAAAATTTAATTTGAATTGAACTTGTAAATCAGTCCTTTAACGATTAAGCTATCACTCTAACTCATTATTCTTTCATACATATCTTGGTCTTAATAGCTAGTATATTATTTTATAAAAAATATGTTTAAGTTCGAATGTGTTGGAAGCTAAAATCTTATTCAAACACTATCGAATCCGTTCCTGGAACAAATCAGTACTAAGCAATGTTGTTTTTTTTTTGCAAAATGAAACAAATGCTTGACAGAGTACACACAGTTAGCATTCCTTAGATTAATAGTCCGTTGCGTTAACCACCCGACCTCGTCGCCACACCAGTATAGTATTCTTGTCCCTATGTAAAATTATTTTCACACTGTCTGGCATTATCCATAACTGTAATAAATCCAATATTACCCCTGTAATTATTATATACCTAACAGGCTTAATAATTTCATATCCTATCCTTACAGCTTATTGTAAACTGAACCTAACTGTATTGTTATTTGTCAAAGGAGGGCTTAAACCATAAATTTGCCTGTATGATCATTAGATAGTTAAGCAATTATTGTGAAATCTTAAAATGGTAGTAAACTTGTAATTAAATATAAATAGATAATACATACAGGTCTGTTATGTTTATTCTTTAGTTAAAATAAATTGTTCAACCCGAGAAGTTTAAATCAGTTGTTTTTAAAAATCTTGAAATATTTGAAATATTGTAATATGCTTTATACCGCATTGCATATGTAGCCGGTGAATAAATTTTAAGAAAAACTTTTAATCTTTAATCAGAATAATACATTCATTTTTAACCTTTTACCGCATGAGTATATTGCACAAATGTCTGTATTCATTGTAAAGCCTCCTGTTACAAGTTCAAACTGCTATGAAACTATAAAAAATGCTTCAATACTCATCAAACTTGGCACAAATGTTGACTGGACCACAGCCTTTGTAACAGCATGCTAAATCTTTAATTTTCTATTACCATTGCAACGCTATTTTCCTTTGTTTTTCCCATCAAAACCGATTTCAAAGTGCTGCATCTTCTTTTGAGAGAGAGTCAAAGGCTTTTCAGCGTTAGTTACATGTTACCTACAGATCTACCTAAGGCCAATTTTAGCCCCTCACAGGTCAAAAATTTTCTTGGCGATGAAAGGGCAACCCCCCAAACAGAAAGGGGCAAATCCCCCTTCTGGCACCTCCTTGATGTACCGTTTTTATAGCCCCGAAAAAGTGATTTCTTTTTTAACCACATTTCTCAAACGAAAAATTTAATTTTGTGGAATGATGCCGAGTTGTTCTATTTTATTATTTCGTTTAATATAAAGATGGAGCATATTTATAAACACGTTTAAACCGTATATCTTGAAATATGCGATTGCATTTAATAATCAAGAATATATTAAATTATATGTTTTGCCCCCCCCCCTTTCAGCTGAAAAATAATTTCGACAATCAACGTTCAATGACGGTGATATTATTCATTTTATTAAAAAAAATTAATGAATTCTTGTTTTAATAATAAAAACAAAAGAAAAAGTCCAACCATCCATCCATATTTCTGTTACTTACTGCGAATCTATATTAGACCTGGCTTTGATAAATGTAAGCGGTAGCCATTTTTTTAAAGTTGTGTATTTCACGGGAGGAAAATAATTGTGTTTAATTCAGAGGGATATCATTTAAATAAGTTAGTCATACACCTTTTTAAAAGAAAGAAAACTTATTTGAAGATTGTAACAGACAAAAAATAAGTGTTGACAGATGTGAAAACATTAAAAAGCAGCAAGGAAAATGGAAAACTTCAAAGGCTGGCTCAGGAACTCTAGGTTGTTTACTTATTCTTCGGGCTGATGGCTGTCATTGCTTTTCAAGTTTTCATAAAACGTACGGCAGTTATTGCTCGTAGGATACTTTAATATGCCCAAATGTCATCAAGAGCAGTTTTGCATGTGGAAAGAATGTATTTTTCAGACTGTAAAAATGAAACAAAAAAATGAGAAACGAAATTTGGTGATTGGAATTTGAATGAATAGAAGTTTTTTTCTTTTTATTACTTTTGAAAATCAAATTATTTATCAATTTCAGCTTTGCTCTTCTTTAAACAGCCTGACATTGTCAGAATTGTCAGCAAAAATAAAATTGAGGTACCACATGGCGAAAATCTTAAAAAAGTAGTTTCGTCATTGAAAAGTGTGAAATTATATTTTGATAATTTTCACTGTGACATTATCAAATATAATTTTCACGGATAAATCAGTAATCCACTGAAAAGCATAAAATAAATCCACATATATCACACTTAAACCCAAATAATAGTTTTATTAAGTAAGACTATTTTAGAATAAATCATTGCTGTTTCAAATGAAACGTTGAAATAAGATTTCGTTTAGGATACCCCTTTCCCACAAAATGACGTCCCCGTCATGTAGATCTACTTGAAGTATTTGCTTTCATACCTAACGATTGTAAAAAAGAGGAAATGAGAAGTCTGTTAAATACACTTTTTTAATTGATATCAAGCTTTGACGAGGTCATATTTGTTTTAAATATATCACTACTCTATTTTGTTTGACAGTTAGAAAATGCTTGTTTATCTGAGTTTACACTACGCAACATCGAACCTTACGCGCATCGTCACAGCGTATGTTGTTTACAATGTGGGGTATCCAAAGGGGAATTTAATGTGTATATTACCTGTTGGATCGTATATATCAATTTCTTTCGGCGGATCAATATCCAGTCAAAAAGGGGCAAAAATCAAAAAGGGTAATAAATTGATATATTCGCCATATTTTCAGTCTTTTAGTTCTCTTAGCAACCAGATTTCTTAACATAGGAATAAACATAAAAGCGCATAATGTCCATACTGTTTTTATCCATATTTTAAGGTTAATGAAATTTTTCAAAAATGTTTTAGTTATAACGGGAACCAGATTTTATGGACGGACGAACATACTGTCAGACGAACATACTGACAGACGAACCCATTCACTGGGTATTTCTTTTGTTTAAAGTACCAAATAAGACCCTTAAAACATACAACAATACTGATGGAATGTATATAATTTACTGTTACAAGTGTCTTCTCGTTCGCCCGGACAGACGAACAGACAAACGGACGGACGGCAAACCTTTCTGCAATATCTCTTGCAATAATAACTGGCATAAACTGTTTACCTCGAACTGTTGCTTCCATAGTTTGGATCTTTCTTTTTCTGTAATCTTCAGTCTATACCTTGTCAAAGACAAAAAGTTAGGTTTATTTGCCTTTAATCCAAATTCAATGTTCTTCCCGTTTGAATCTTTATGATAAATAAAGAGATAGAAAAGAGAAAAATTGCATCAACATAAAATGAGATCCTGAAATTGTAATGGAAAACAGAAATAAGTTTGCTGTGCAAGCTGGATATATAAAAAGTCTTTATTCCATTCAAGACTGCAAAAAGTTTAAAATGTTATCAAGTTGTAATAAGAACAAGTTAATACCTTAGAACTCTTAAAACTCTTAGAACTGATGAGCTAGAAATTTGATTTTAGCTGTGTATAAGGAGTCCAATTGCTCGTACATCCCGTTTTGTACAGATAATTTTTATTAAACACGTTAGTAAATGTACCAACGACTTCAAGCATTTGCGCCACGTGCTGTTCCAAATTTAATTATTATAGGACGTACTTCTATAATTTAAGTTCGTTTTAATTTCCCCGAGACCTCAAAACCCGTATCAAATACAGAATATATACATGTTATTGAAAGACACGCGAACAAAAATCAGAATTAGCGATTTGATAAAAATCAAGAGTAAATGATTATAGTAATAATTAATTATTATATTTCAAAGTATATAATGTATTTGATCCATGACAGACAGTTTAATGCTTTATCGCATGAAAATCGTAACAAAATACTTTACCTTCCTTAAGTGCATTCTGTTGATCTGAAACAAAATGAAGCAGAAGAAGTGAAATATATAGACAATTTCATCCACATGAATAAGGAATTGACTTTATTTAATATGCCATTCCTTTTAATCGAATGCTAGACGATCCACATTTTGTCTACTCAATCCACATTTTGAATGTCAAGCCAGCAGCTAAACATTCAAATTCTTTGGTTCAAATATATTAAGCCAGGCAATCGACTATTAGTCTCTCTTCCTAAAACGAATTTATAGGTCGCAAATTAACAGATATTTAAATTTTACAAATTTCGAGCTAGAGAGTCAACAAAAATATATATTTGTCGTTGCTTTCAGATACAAAAGAAGCAAAAGTACATCTTTTAGAAAAATAGTATGTCTTTATCTCCGAATACGGTTCTTATTTATAATACTCCTCAAAGTTATAAATTTTCTATATAATTTTAATATTTAATAGTTTATAAATTGCATGTAATGATTAAATATTAATGATAAGAGTGGAGCAAGATTAAGGACCTTTGTACAATGCGGATATATCAAAAAGCTTACAATTTCTTTTAAAAGCTAAATACCGGTAACACAAAGTAGGTTTCAATTAAATGTAAGGTCGAACGATACATGTAAAGTTTATTTCAATCAATATAGGCTTCTGGTCCAAAATACAGTTTCATCTATAAATGAAAGTTATTAAATTCAAAGATACATAAAATACGCGATGATCAATATTGAAATATACACTGCAAAATTGAGCAATTGGTACGTTCCAACAAATATAATTCCGTTTCGGGTACATCCGTTTGTACCAAATTACACCGATATTTTAAGCAATTGTTTAGAGGATATTTGTTTGTGTGTAAAGTGAAATTCTATTTCATCGAGTGAGCTTTAAAATAATATTCTTACGATAAGCATAGTCATGAGTGAAAATTCTATTTTAATTTCACGAGATGAAATACAATAAAATCTTACACAGCAAACAAACAAATTTCTTTTTTTTCGTATGCTTAAAAATGTTTAAATGAAATTTCATTAATATTAACTTCAATATTAGAATTTGTCTTTTTCCACTGATTGCCTCAATTTCAGACAAATTTATCATACAAACAAGAAGACTTGAGCTGAAAAGTAAGTTCGACAATCAATGTTAAATGGTGTTGATATTATTTATATTAAACAAATAATATGAATGATCGCTTGGTTAAATCATTAAAAAAAAACATTTCAAAAAGGTGGACAAGTGACACCATGACGAACTTAATTCCACTTTAATACACTAATAGAGCGGAAAGATATATAAATACATATCATCTGACCGCAACTTAAAAATGTTCTTTATTGAATAAAATGTGCTTCGAAGGGATTGCATTGGGATTTGATTATTTTACTTCTCTCATAAGAAAGAATACTTACTCATTGATTGTTACAGACAATAATTAATTGTTGACATACGCGTACACATTTAAGAAGCGACTAGGAATTGGTAAACATGGACTCTTTTGAAATGCTGTATTTCCAACATTTGGTTATTTACTTATCCTTCGGGGCGATGACTGTCATTGCTTTACGCATTGAAATTGGTAAGCGACATTGAATCTCTTTTATCACTTGAGATGGAGTATGTAAGTGAATGGCTTGTCGATAACAAGCTTTCACTTCATCTTGGCAAAACAGAATCTATTCTGTTTGGTTCAAAACCAAGATTAAGGTCAAAAGGTAATTCAAATAGTTCATGTAATGGTACAAATATCCAGGCTACCAGCTCAGTTAAATATCTCGGTGCAACTTTGGACCAGAACCTTTCCCGTGAAGAAATTGCACGGTCAGTGGTTACGAAAGCAAATGCCCGGCTGAAATACTTGTATAGGAAAAGTCAATTCTTGGATCTCCATACTAGGAAACTCTTGGTCATGTCCTTAATTCAATGCCATTTTGATTATGTTTGTTCTTTTTGGTACCCAAGTTTGACTCAGAATTGGAAGAAAAGGCTCCAAACAACCCAGAATAAATTGGTTCGTTTTGTTTTGAATAAGGACAGCAGGTTACATGTTGGGCCAGAGCAATTTAAGGTTCTTAACTGGTTACCGGTCTCCAAAAGAGTTGATCAGAAGACTCTTTTCCATGTCCATAAAATAAAGTCTGGCACAGCCCCAAAATACCTTTAGGAGCATTTTGTACCCCTTAATCAGGTCCATGACCGCTGTACCAGGTCCAGAGTGTCTGCACTTTCATCATCAGATTCCTGTGTAAGCTATTCTTTTAGTGACACAGGACGATTTCCTTTAACAAAGGTAGGAAGCTTTGGTAGAAAATCTTTTGCTTTTAATGGTATTGCACTATGGAACGGCCTTCCTCAAAATCTTAGAAATATTCAATATTCCCACACCTTCAAGCATGCCATCAAAGCCCATTTAATGGCCAAGTAATTTTAGTTTATTTTTCAATCGTATTTGAATCTTTTAATAGTCTTAATAGAGTCCCACACATGTTGTGTCCTTGAGTAATTTACCCAATTTTAGCTTCCTCATTTAACGTTTTTATAAATTTTTTATTAAATTTTTACAGTTTGACTGACAATTTCTGTGATGCACTATTTCATGATTCATTGATGTGATACAAACTTGAACTGTGATTTTAATGTGATACAAACTTGGACTGTGATATATTGTGATCTCAACTAAATTATTGGAATTAATGCCTTATTAAATTATACAAGAATTAATTTCAATTTCATACAAATTAACATGACTTTCTGTGTCATGTCTCCAATGTCAGGGACCACAATGGAAATTTAGAGAATCATTTCCTCTTTTTTGTGTTATCCCTGGTATTGGTGGGCACTACATGGCTCATATATTTATATTATGTCGTATACTTATGTCATGTCATATTTCTAGTCTCCTTAATATTTTCATTATTGTTATATGTATTGTATCATTATGCATCATTATGTCATTGCCATGTCATGTACACTTTTACCGAATAAAACTACTACAGATTTTACAGTTATTGCTCGTAGGATACTTGAATATGCCCAAATGTCATCAAGAGCAGCTTTGCAAGATGAAGGAACTGTTAAGAAGGAAATCAAAACGTAGAGACGAATCGGTAGACACGAACTTGGTGATCGGTAAATTGAATGAATTGAAGATAGTTTATCGTTTTGATTACGTTTGAAATATATCTTATTTTACGATTTCAGCTTTGCTTTGCTCTAAATAGCCATAAATGAAAAGAAGGGTACCCAATGGGGAAAATCTTAAAAAGTAGTATCTTCTTCGAAAAGTGTAAAATTATATTATGACTTTTTGCACTGTGAAATTATACATTTCATAGAAAAATCAGTATTCCACATAGATAAATATGTTATACATAGACATTTGCATTTCCCTAACACCTTATCAACAGTAGAGGTTTCTACACAAAGAATGTTTGTACATGTAGTGTGAATTTAAAGAGAAACGAATTAGATCGATCGGCTTAATTGAGTCTGATAGTGAACAAAATATGTTGGGCGGAAAAATACCCGTCAGGGACGAAGGAATATTTAAGGCCTTTGCTAACCACGACTTCAAGCAGTCTATTCGAGACATCCTGCAAATAACAAAATAGTCGTCCTGCAAATGTCACATGTTAGTCTGCGATATGTTCTCCGTTTATTGACTGCAGAGGAGATAATGAATTAGTTCGCGGCATCTCGAGAATTTATTAGTTAAGCTTAGAGAGCCTAATCGGTCCTTACTAGAATTATCACTAGAAACGGAACGTGAGTTCATTATATGGAACCGAAAGACATCTTTGATATGGACGAATCACGAGAGACCACTAAGACGGTAACGTCCATAAGAAAGACGGTGTGTCTAGATAGAAATTCACAACTCGGTCACATAGGGAGAAAGGTGTAGAATTGAGAATTGCAACGCATCTTATTACTCAGAGGTAAAAAGTAACTAACGAATTTGTGTTATTTAAAATGTAAAATTCAAAAATAACTACTTTATTTGAATTTAGAATTTCGTGTTTATACTGTTACCTACGACATTTGATACACTTTTTTAATTTATTCATACGAGTGTGTTTGATTTTGCAGATCCAGAGCCGGCTCCTGATGAACGCTGTACGAAGATGTACATGTATACCAACATCAAAGACGCAGTACTCTACTAACACAATGCAACATGAAACAACGACGCAGATAAAAAATAATGTGTTGTGTTTCGTGAGGCCAGTCATCCTCCCATCCCACCATGCAATCCATTCCCAGAAAAAACTGATCCTTAAATGATCAGTGCTAAGCGACATGTATAACAAAAGGGTCAAAACTCCATCTTAAAAAAAGCAACACTTATAGCGGAAACTATCTTTATAAGGTGTAACCAATAGATTTGACATAATGTTAAATAGCGTCATTTTTTGTGATGGTAACATGCGCCGTTGACCATTATCATATGATATAAGTAATAGAAAGAGCACCGAAACACGAAGCTATCTGATTTGTACGAGGGGGCGTAGCCCCCGAGTATAAATCAGATTACCGAGTGTTTTGGTGTTCTTTCTCTTTTGTATCATAGTCAAACATAAAAACACGTTCCCTGTTGTCACAATATGAAACCCCGGCAAAAATGAACCAATGAACGAACATCTAAATATGATATTTCTGTCGCATTCCCTTTCTCTGCCGTCACAATATGTAAACCCCAGCAAAAATGAGCCAATCAATGGGCATGCTCTGGAGTGCGGGTAACTAATACCCGCACTCCAGTTAACGCACTGTGCATATATATATATATATATATATATATATATATATATATATATATATATATATATATATATATATATATATATATATATATATATATATATATATATATATATATATATATATGTATACGATTTAACCCTGACACATTTTCAACGGAAAGGTCTCCAAACTATGATACAAGATTTTGTTTATTTTTAACCCTTTTCCTGTGTTATTTGAGATAATGGTCAGAATATACACATAAAGATATCATATGTTATCAAATGTACGTTAACCGTTTGCATAGTATGTGCAATTTCCTAAATTAATGCATGAAACCACATTATTACAATGTAATTTGTGTTTTTTTTACTATTTTTTTACTATTACCACGGTTTCAAATGAACATAATCTTCTCCGCTTGAAATTTCTTTGTAGGATCTTGAAACAGACCACAACTTTAATGGATATAATATGCTTTTTTCCAGACGAGCTGTTATGTCGCCTTAAAAATGTGATTAAACAGTTATACACCCGTAAATTGCTAGAGTGATTGTCGGAACCTTACCTTTCTTCACCATGGCATCAATTATTTTAGTATGCGCTTCATCAATGGCCTCTTCTACATCTATATACACGAGATGCTGTAGGCAAACTGGTACAGAACAGGGCTCGATCCGTATAGGTATGAGATTATACTGTCCTTGTACTCGTAAATTAAATGCCTTGTCAATTTCATCGAGACAATAACAACTATTTTCTAATTCCTCCGATAGAACAATAAGCATATTCATGCTTTTCTCTATTGCATCATACATATTATCAGTAATTGACCTTCCCGGAACGAAATCTCTCTCAAAGTAGCAACAAACGACTCCTTCTCTCTCCAAATTTTGAACAATTTCTGCAACAGTACACAAAGAATTCCGTTCATAACAAACAAATAAGTGATATTTCTTGTTAGGCGGTAAATCCGGTATAGGAGAAGAAATTTCCATATTCACGTTTATATATTAATACATAGAATTAATATTTCAAATTGATTTTTAAAGTTCTTTCCAATGCAAATTGATACTACCTTATATCACGAACGAACGAATTTGTATAAAGTTATTAGTCTACACAAATATCAATGGACTGTGCTATGCAACAACACAAATATTTACCCATTAATTAGACGTTTATAACTTCCACTTTCGATTTAGCTATAAAATGATAGGTCTTATATTAATAATTATTGCGTCTATCGCTGTAAGTATTTTCTTAGTTTATTCGTAGTGCAATTATAGATAAATGACAAACTTAGATATTATAATACTGTGTTCTGTTTGTTTGTATGTCGTAATGTTTAAAATCATGAAGTTATTCACTTTATATAAATAATACAAACTTATAGAGATACTACATTGATTCAGTCGGATGTGACTTATTTGTATTTGTTTCCTATTTGTGCACATATGACTAAATACTGTATTTATTTATTTATTTACCATACTAATAAGCATTTAACTTTCTGGCATGCTGCACTACATGTGTTGGCTACACACAAAAAAATCATACAAAGGTGCAGTAAAAATAAATAAAATGGCTTGGGTATACATACAGTGTTACCTTGTTCCGCCATTCCGTCATCATCAGTTACCGTTCATTATCTTGGCAGCAGTTGCACACATTAAACTAAACTCAAATTTGACATATAGATATATGATAGACGAATGCTGGCCAAAACGAAATTGTCATGGTCTGATGAGTTATGACCCTTGAAGTATTTTTCAGTTTCCGTTCTTTATCTCCTGCACAAATGTCACTCAAATTTGAAATTTGGATATGTCAAAGGAATGTACAGGTTTGCATTTGGTCATGGTCCAATGATTTTGGCGTGGTTATAATCCTTTAACTTTGAAACAAATAAGAAGTTTTCGGTTTCCATTCATTATCTCCAAAACAGCTGTATACATTCAGTCCAAATTTGACGTATAAACACGTCAAAGAAATGCACAGGTCAGGTTCGATCTTTGTAATTATTCAATGATTTATTTTCCAGAGTTATGCCCAGTTAGTTTTGGAAAAAAAGAGAAATTTTCAGTTTCCGTTAAATACATCCCCAACAATTGTATACATTCAACATAAATTTAACATATGTATACGTCAAAGGAATGTACAGGTCAAGGTCGAAGTTCCTCATTATGCGATGATTGATGACTGAGTTACACCCCTTTAAATTTGAAGAAAAGATAAGAAAGTTTTAGTGTCCGTTCGATATATCCTTAACAGTTGAAAACATTCAACTCAAATTTATCACATGAAAAGATACGTCAAAGAAATGCAAAGGCAAGTTAGAATTTGCTCATGGTTCCATGATTTTAGACAGACTTATGCCCCTCTTGAACTTTGAAAAAAAAGATCAGCTTCCGTTCAGTATCTCTCTAACAGTTATACATATTCAATTCAAAAGTGGATATTGCAAAGAAATGCGCAGGTTAAGTTCCAATTTAGTCGTGAATCGATAATTCTTGACAGAGTTATGCTTTAAAAGAATAAGTTTCCGCTCATTATCTCCCCGGCAGTTGCACACATTAAATTTAGATTCGACATATGGATATGTTATAGGAATGTGCGAGTCAAGTTCGATTTTGGGCATGGTTTAATAATTTTTGACAAAGTTTTCCCTGTTGAACTTTAAAAAAAGTAAGACATTTTCATTGTCCGTCATTATCTCCCCAACAGTTGTACGCATGTAACTCAAATATGACATATTGATAAGCCAAAGAAATGAAAATGTCAAACTTGAATTTAGATATATTTCGATCGTTTTGGTAGAGTTATGCCCCTTTAACTTAATAAATGTTTAGTTTCCTTTAATTATCTCCCTTACAGATGTACAAATTCAACTCAAATTAAACATATAGATACATCATAGAAATCAGGTTTGAATTTTGTCATGGTTCGATTATTTTGGACAAAGTACTCTCTCTCTCTCTTGAACATTAGAAATGAATATGAAATTTTCGGTTTCCGCACTCTTACTGTTGTAAAAATGTATATTTAAGGTTGAAATTGCACGTGCAAGTATTTAACAGAAAATACAATAGAATAGAGAAAATAAGAATCCCTTAAGAAAGCCCAACATGGCAAAATTGAAAATGTTGCAGGCTCGGTTTAATTGAACCTGTTCATGGACGGTACGGTACTGTCAAGTGCAAACTTGTCAAAAAGTCAATTTCGAATTTGGTTATCGTTCGATGATTCTTGAGAGTTATCTTCTCTTCTAACTTTGGTAAGAATATAGGTTCGAGGTTAATAGTTTACCAGATCATATATGTCAGATTCTAATTTGATCATGGCTAGATGTTTTTTGACAGTTATCCTCCTTGAAGTTGGAAAATATTTTTAAAAAAGTCTCAATTTCTAATCATAATCTCGGCTACATTTGAAATATGTAATTTGCAATAGGTAAACACTGAAAGTGTCGCGGCCTTGAACTTTGTATAAAAATGGATTATGTTAACATTGAATAGTTTTAGGGCCTTGAATTTAGAATAAAAAAACTGGTTTGTGCAATCAAATTTGGAACTAAATATTATTATAACATTTAAAATGTTGTGTGACGACGATTTCTAGTTTTCACATCAGATAATAACATCAGCATAATTTTCACTAAATTTGTATCTCGCCTATCATGAATAAAACAACGGAGATTTTCTTAATGTACTATGCAAAAGTATGTTTACATGCCAGTGCGACAGAAAAATATAGCGGGGACATGAACGTACGAAAGACTAGTGGGAATATTTAAATTCCCATGAATTCCCGATTTCAGCTCTGTGAATTCACTATCTTAACATCCTGACTTTACATTTACAACAAATTAAATTCACGATTTCACGATTTCATCTCCATGAATTTACCTTTTTAACTGAACGAAGTCAAGATTTCAACTTATTAGTTCACGATTTTAGCTTCACAAATTCAAATTTGCGAATTCACGTTTTTAACTTCACAATTTCAACCTCAGGGATTCATGATTTCAACTTCACAAATAGTCAATTCATCTTCACGATTTCAACTTCTTTTCTTTCGGAATTGGAACCGTGAAATTCAAACGTAATTTTATGAATTGAATTCATAAAGTAGATACTGTGAATTATTGAATGCATGAATTTGAAAGAGTGCATTCCTGAAGTTGGGATTTTGAATTCGTAAAATTGAAATCGGGAATTCATGGAGATGAACGTAAGAATTTAAGATACAATGCCAGCACTAGTCTTTCGTTTAAACGATCAATATACACAGTGCTAGTTAATAAATGGTTATACTAGGAAGTCAAACTAGTTGATCAAGTTTAAACATGCATCTTTTTAAATTTAAAAGTTGTTAATTTATGATAAAGAAAAAGCATCCTCTTAAAACATAATATAAATCCTTTAACCAAATGTACCATTTCAGGGTGTTCGTTCAAGAAACTGCAGTGACACTGAATTATGTCCATCCGATAAACCTTTCTGTAGTGAAGTTGGTTGTATCTTCGAATGTCCAGCTCCCTTTTATATCAATGGAAGCAATTGTGTCTCCGACTGCGGAGAATTGTTTGTTGATGAAAATCGAAACTGCATCTCTGCATGTCCACAGGGAACATTTTACAAAGAGATACTTAAACAAACCATGCTTAAGCCGTATTTAGAAAAGAAGTGTGTAAGATGCAGCTGGTACATGTATGGAATGTTTATTTCAAATGATTCATGTGTAAACGTTTGTCCTTCAGAATCCAGATATATAGATGGAAATAACTGCATTTCACAATGTCCGGAGGAGCGACCTTTCAAGGGTATTACAACTATTCATGGTTTATCCCATTACATATGCAAGAATAAATGTCCATCAATGAACGACGGTAAATTTTGTACAAATGTCTGTCCCGAAAATAAAGTAGTGATAGGTTCCTCGTGTCTTGAGCAATGTCCATCAAATACACCTTATTTAATACACAACTCGTGTCTGACACAGTGTCCGTATGATGCCCCTGCTGACGGATATGATAATAAAACATGTGTACAATCAAAGTGTCCAGACAAACGACCATTTGTTGTTAACAATACCTGTGTCGAAAGTTGTCCGGATGATTTCCCCTTAACCTATTCTACAATAAACATATTCAACAGGGGCTTTGAATATTGTATTAAAGACTGTGGAGGTGAAGATAAATACAGGTATAAGAATAAATGTGTACTTGCTTGTCCATCCCAAACTGTTGCTGTAAAAAATGATTGTGCTGATAAATGTCCTATGTATACTTCTTATATGTGCACGGTACCGGTTGGATATAATTGCGGAGAAAAACCTGGCGAAAGATTGGCTCATGCGATTTGTGTAAATGAATGTCCTAATTCTATGTTGATCTGGAACAATACCTGTGTGTTTTCATGTAAAACGGGACTCGCAATTTTCGGAAGAGAATGCACTGAAACGTGCCCAGTCTTTAACCCATATAAACAAAATATAACAAATGGCATCAACTGCAAATGGGGACGTTGTAAAACCATTAAAACCGATTTGTATTGTGTTGAAAAGTGTTCAACGGATAATTTTATCTTCAACTCAACTTGCTTTCAATATTGTCCTTCGAATTCCCTGTTTAACGGTAGCTACTGTGTGTCGCAGTGTCCCAAGACAAAACCATTTAAAGAAAACTCAACAATCACCATCAAAACCTGGTCATATAGCAGACATTATATCAGGCACTACAAAGAAGATAAAGGACAAAAACATATTCAGCAATGCGTCGCTGCTTGTGGAACCGAAACATTTTATTTAAATTACACATGTGTCAAAGTCTGTCCAGATGGATATACACTTTCTGGAAATAGAACATGCTCTCAGCAAAAATGTAACACGAAATACGAAGAAAAAACTAGAGCTGGAATAATATGTCTCGATACGTGCAAACCAAAAACATTCAGTTTGAACAAAACGTGCGTGGACACATGTACAGGTACGCATATGAAATTTCACCTTAATAGTACTTGCATTGAAAAATGCCCACACAGATATAAATATATGGCTGTTTCGATTGCAAATGAGGTTGAATCTTATGGT